GCTGTTCAATATCTGGGCCTAAGTTGGGATGGGAAAGCATTATATTAGATAGAAGATTTAGAAATATCAAGTTCATGGAGGAATGTGGGACAAGAAAATGGTAAATTATAGGGACGCCTGGGTGGCTCAGTTGGTTAAGCGGCTGCCTTCGGCTCAGGTCATGATCCCAGGGTCCTGCGATCGAGTCCCACATCAGGCTCTTTGCTCAGCGGGGAGCCTGCTTTCTCCCTCTGCCTGCCACTCCCCCTGCTTATGCTCTCTCTCTCTCTCTCTCTGACAAATAAATAAAATAAAATAAAAAGGTAAATTATAAAAGGGGTTCATGATAATGAAAACATTGCAACTCAGTGGGTACTTTGCAGATGTCTTTAGTAACCTCCCTTCCCCCTGTGACACTTAGCTGAAGGCTGACAGGACAAATGTCAATCGACTAATAATAGTGGTGACGGCAGTAATAGTCATAGTAATAGGAGAGCAGTCACATTACAAGTGGGTGCTCAATAAATATTGTTTGATAGATTATCTAGTAGACACAAATTTGCTCATTTGAAATCTAGAGCACAGGGATCTTATACATTTCAGCATTAAATTACTTCTGGGCAGGGAAGATTTAGAGGCATGGCTTTCTGATGGCAGCCAGATCTGATCAGTCACTCCAGACAAATCCATGAAGGTAGCCCAGAGATTTTCTTTTTACCCACCCCGACGTTTCTCCGCCAAACCCAATCCCTGACCAGTCACATGACATCACATGCTGCAGCCAAACTGCCATGCACCCCCCAAATTCCTGTACCCCAGAATGAGGACCTGTTTGTGCCCCTACGGAGATTAGCTAAAACGTTACTAACGGAGGGGCAGATACCAGTGGGTTGTGTTTGTTTAACCCTCGTCCTGGCAACCCGTGAGCACCTGGGACCTCTGAGATTATTTTAAAAGGTGGCTGGGTGGGAAGCAAGAGCAGGATAATGCCAAAGACTGGACACCAACAAGGGGAGGAATGATATTTCAGAGGCTTCCGCTAATTCTGGGGAAAGACTGCAGTGAACTGCTTAGTATCCACAAATCCCTCCTTTCCTGGTATACCCACTTCTTTACAATCTGATTGTACTGCACCTCCCATTTATAGGTGGAGTCAATGTCTCTGCCCCCATCAATCTGGCCTGGCCCTTGTGGATTTGCTTGGACCAACAGAGCACAGAGATGGGGATGGTGAATGAGTCTTGGAGCCTACGCTTCAAGATGCCCTGTAGCTTGGACCTCTGCTCTCTTGGAAGCTGCTCTCAGGGAAAATCTCTTGAGAATGAGTGAGGCCCAGCTATTGAGCTGCCTCAGCCCCATCTACCCCTAGGCTAAATACAACCCATGAGAGAAACAAGGTTTGACTACCAGTAAAACCACAGATCACCCCACAGAATCCTGAGGATAGCAAATTCTTGTTTTGAGGTTTAGGGTGGTTTGTTTACAGCAAAAGATCATGAAAACAGGCCAACAAGTATAGCTGACCCTTTTGTCTTTCTTTCTCTCTTCCTTTGTTTTTTTAAAGATTTTCAGAAAAATCAATTTAAGGCCAGAAAGGGAAGTAACCTAAAGAGATCATTTTATGTCTTTCTGTTTCCCTGATTTATGAGGTTAACTGGAAAGTCACCAAACATTATTTCTCATTCTCAACTTTGAAGTTCATTTGACTTTAATTAGAAAAACTGTTCATTTTACATGAAATGAATAACACAAAACTAAATTTAAATATCATTCTAGTGTGACTTAACACTGAATTATAAATTTAATGGTTGCGGGTGAAATAACCTTCAGAATTTTTTTCCTGAGAAACCAACAACATTTGCAAAAATAGGCATAGGGATTTTTTTTTCCCCCTGAAAGTTCTCAGTAAAGCAAAAGAGAACAGCTCTGTTATCAAATTATCCCCAAAGCCTTAATTAAAGTCAAGTGCTAAGGGAGATTTCAAGTTCCTTAATTTTATTGACTAATTCACAAAGAGAAACATCAGAAAAATATGTCTCAGCTCTTATTCATATACTTCACAATAGAGCTTATTTATTTTTATTTATGTATTTACATACGTTTGTAACACCTACACAACATTAAACAAAATTATCTCTACCTAAATGCAGCAATAAGCCTGTTTCCACAGAAAATCCCAAATATACGGCTGTTTTCCTATTTATTTACCTACTCATCAAAATTCTGGCAAGCATTTCACGAGATTGCATCAGTTCGAAACACTCCAACATTTCTATTATAAAGTTTTCCCAAGGTGTCTCTAGTGAAGCTGGGAAGAAATATATATGTATGTGGGTTCAAATATAACAGCAGAACCTGACTGGAATGCCTACATTTGCAGCAGGAGTTATATCCAGAGTTGCCATAGCAGCCACCCACACTCACACACTCATAAACGGGTGGCAGGGAAGAGAGAAAAGCAGTTAGCAGAGAATAGAATCTATTGTTAAAAAGACAGAGGTACCCTGCAATGTAATTACAAGGAGGAATCCTGACTTTTAGTCTGAACCACTGTTTAATGATAGAAGATTTCCGAGTGCTGGAGTGTTATTAAATGTTTTTTCTCTAAACATATCTACCATCTGAACCCTCGGCCGTAATCTTTATGGATGCTGAGGTTATGTGGCAGCAGGAGGAAATTTAGCTGACCATGCACACTCTAGAACTAATATGATTTAATATCCTTTCTCTGGAATATTTGGAATCACTGTAGCCAGGAAAATGGGTGGTTCTATGGATCTGGACAGGTTACTTCACTTTCTGAGCATCCTCATCTGTAAAATGGGCATAATAATACTACATACTCCAAGGAGTTTTTATAAGGATTCAATAAATTAGTACAAATATTCAATTACTACATAAATAGTAATAGCAATCAATAAAGAATAAATTTTAATACAATTAGTAATATATTAAATAAATTAGTAAAAGTGAAGCACTCGGTGCTTGACACATAGTAAATGTTCAATGAATGTTTGCTATAGTAATTATAATTATTATGGAATTATAATATATTTTATATATAGATAAGAGGTTGCTAAAACACTTGCCAGCTGACCAGAGGCAGGACAAGATATTAAGATTTCTCTAGGACTTAAAAGCATAATACCTTCTCCCAAAGGCATCCCAAAGCGATGCCTTTGAAAACACGATTTTGGCAGAACAAAAAGATCAAGTATTTATAGTACTCGCACATTCACTACCATTGGCAAACCCTGGTTAGAGAGCAAAACCAATCATCTATTAGTGCTAAAATAATCATGTAACAGGATTTGGGTTCAGAGAGTATTCTGGAATTTGTCTCAAGTCGTTGGCTTGATCACATATGTATATGCAGATATTTGCAATTCATCCTCGGATACAAATAACAAGGTCAGATTTAGAAGTGATGACAATGAATGAAAAGTATTTTGTGACTTCTGATTCACTCAAGTTTTAAATCTTCATTTTCAGGCTGAATGCTTCATATTCTAAGAGAGATGGGACATGTAGTGAAGCAATATAATGAATAAAAGAATATGCATGGATAAACAGATTTTATAGCAAGTCCATAGTGCCTTAGAATGGGAAGCAGAAAGCAAAGCTGATGGGATAAAGAAATCAGGGGAAATTGGAGGAGTGGAGTTGGGAGCACACTGGGGAAGAAGGGAGTTGGAACTGACAAACTAGACAGAAGTTAGAAGAGAGTGGAAGAGAAAATGGATAGGATGAGATTTCATCTTTAACTCTATAAAACCTTTTTTGATGGGATTTTTAAAAGTCCAGGCTGTGAGGGACAGAATTAGCTCAGCTTGAAAACTTTAGAAATGTTAAAATGCATGTACTTAAGGCCTCCAGAATTATCCTGCCATCGTGAGCGGTATGTATAGTGCTATAGTTTCCCTCCTAAATTGTTACTTATTCAGTAATTTTGTTTCCAATCTCAAGTAGAGATGTCATAGGGTATTACTGTGTTTTCTCTCTGCTTTTAGAAACAAGCAGACACGATTGCATTAAGAATATCAGAAATATTTCCATAATCAAATAGCTCCTTGAGGGTAAAAATAATTCTGAGTTTTTTTTAAGTCATCAGTAATGAACAGATTTGGTTTCAAATGGGTCCTGAGATCTCTTGTCAATGAACTGGAATCAGAAGAAAGGAGCTATTAGCACCATTGGAAAGGAGAACCCCAAAAGACATTTAAAATCTTTGAACTTTTTACTGTACGCATGGAAAAGCCTACAGAGCACATTTTGGGAGTCCAGCTCCAGAACTACAAGGCAGATCCTGGTAAGAGAGGGAAGGGCAGATGGCAGGAATGCTGGGGCCAAGCGCTGCCTGTCAAGGCTGCCCTTCTTTCTACCCCTGCGAATCCGTAACGCACTCAACCATGACCATTTACTTCCACGTAGAGGTCCTGGACATCTGCAGCAGGGGTCTGGCTCTCACCACCGAAATGATGGCAAAGACTCAAGAATAAAGAAAAAAAACCATCATTTACAAGGACATTTTGGCTAGCTCTATGCGAAAGTAGTGAAACACTAGTTGAGATATTATGATGACAACAGTTACCAATAACCAAACAAAAAAACTTTCTAAAGAAAAGAGTGCCCCTTTCCCCACCTCCACCAGAGAATGTTAGAGCTTGAGTAGGCAGCTAAGAGGTCTGGATAGTTTTCTTAATTGGGCTATTACAAGATTATGGGGACTGCTACGGGACAAATTTGTTTCCATTAAGCCCTATTTAACATAAAGACAAACATATTCTCAAATAGAAATGCTAATGACTATATTCTTTAATACAACCAGCTACCCACACATAATCTCACGAGAGTCAACTGACTTAATTCTATCCACAGTCCAAACAGCTAGTATTAAAAATAAATTAAATGGCCTACAGAAAGCTGTTAACGTGACTTCCATTATGGCAGAGAAAAAGAATTTCTACATTGGGAGAATGAACAGAAAGACAGACTAAGACTGGTTAATAATCCTTACTTACTGTCAGATACATAGCTGCATAGACACTAAGAGCCGCTTCTTTGGATGGAAACGTCTTCCTTGCTCTCATGATGAGATCTGGGTTGCCCGTGCAGGCCTCTTCCCCACTGATGAACTGTGTATACTGCTGACATCCAAGCGCTGTATAGTTGGGCTTACACAGGGCAAGAAAATGTGGAGCCAGATTCCCTGTGACTACTTGCCCAGCATTTACAAAGATATCTGTAGCAAATAGCCCAAATGTATAAATACCTGAGGAAGAAAACAAACCATCGTAACTCTGTTTTATTTTGTTCTGTTTGTATTTCAGTTTACGATAAGCCAACATGGAAATATTTTAGAAACTAATAAAATAATTCATACATACATGTGGTTCCTTCCATTTCACTTCTCTCCAATACTTTGCTTTCTGGAGTAGTGGGAGTGTTAAATTATTTAACATATCGAGCTGTCTACCACTGGCTACAGTCTATGCATGGCAGGTTTATAAGACATAAGATAAAAGAAGAAGATATATTCTAAGACTGTGTTTGGGTAATGCGATTTTTAAAAAGGAGACATATTTCTCTGGAGAGGGCTCAGTCTCTCACCTTCTACTAATGCTAGCAATCTTGATTTTTCCCTATTTTGAAAATATTTCGCATCTTATAAACATAAAGCAAAGCAGGTGTCTCCCTTTGATTATGCCTCTTAAACCCATTCAGACTGATATTAACTCTGCTGGAGGTACCAATTAGCAGTAAAATCCAATGCCATTAGTTTTCATTTAAATATCATGGAAAATCTTAAGAAAAATGGTTCAGATTGATTTCTACACTGCTTTCACGAATACATTTTAAAAAGTCACATAACAACTAGTAACTTGGTCCCGCCTTATATTTTATGGTTGGACTTTAATTTATCAAATTTGGGGCAATTTTGTAAATAATAGTGCAATCAAAATTATGACTTTTCAATTATCTTCACAGTATTAAAATTTATTTGCTTTGGTTCCTGAAAGGTATAAAATTAAGTATACAGAGATTTTTTTGTGTGTGTGTGAGAATGTGACAATTTACTCAAATTTAAAAAAAAATTTCTAAATTCAATGTCATTGGTCATTAGAACCAAAATTTACTTTTCTCCTCTATTTAGGCAAAATACATTCCTTGGCACCATTTTCAATTAAACTGACAAATACAATCTTTGAGGATGTGGTACCAATGTGAAGAAATCTATTCTTAATTTTGGGAAATAAAATTCCATCAGGTATTTTTACATTATGCCAGGAGAAAACTTCCCAAACCGCTCATTCATTAAAAAGTCATATGGTTCTATGATAATAATCAGATGCTTTATTTCTTAGTCATAAATTTCTGGATTGTTTGTTTGGCTAAACCTTTATACATAATTATTGGCTGTTATGTAGGAAGTCACCAGGAAAGTTGTGCAGGATCAAATAATTTTCCAGTGTCAGAAGCATGGCTATCCTTCTAATTTTTGAAATAGCATATAAGATTATAAAAGGCTCAGGTACATAAACCTGCACATAGCAAAACTCGACATGCATACAATGGCAATGAAACAAAGACCTTAGTTCTTTATCTAAAAATGTTAAAAGGAAATAATGAAAAGATCTTTCTTTACATCTTCCCAGCATTTCATGAAGCATACAAGTAAATGTTATCAGAAGCAGAAACTTAGGAGAGGCAGGGAAATGAAAGAGAATGGAGGAGCTTAATAGAATGTTCATGTACGTAACCTGTGCTTCCAAACATCATGGCCCAGCACAGGAACTTAACTGGCAAGTCTTCATCTCTACTCCCTTGAAATCTAGGCTAAGATGTACTCACTTTATTTAACCAAACCATTTCTTTATCTGCTGTAATAAGTTTTCCTGTGTAAAATAGAAGTATTTGATAAGGATATGGAAATGTCTCTTGATACTTGTAAAGTTTCTAAATGTGCTTTTGAATTAAAATATTCAGTGCATCAGGCCCAAGGCCAATACTGTAGCTACAAAGATAGTAATTAAAGTGAGATCCCATGAATGTATCCACAGTGCTGACCGCCAGGATAAAGTCCCTACAAAGAACGATGCCCTATTATGCAGTAATGTTTTGCTTATAAACTTCCCATTTTAACAAACCAGAAATATCTAAATCATAATGAACAAGGGAAAAGGAACAAATCAAGCATTCCTAAATATTTCATAAAATCATATAATGAGAAACATACAGAGATTTAAAACATGCTTTATTTTGTGCCATATATTCTTTAGAAATATGTGTGCCAATGCAAAAAAATAACTACTTAAGTAGGCATAATAAAATTTGCTTTAACAGTATTTTGGAAAGTGTCAATTTTACCATGTTTAGTTTTGAGTATATTATTGCTTATTTTGTTATTAAATGACTCATGCAAAGAAAAATGAGTCAAGAACACAGTATTGATGCATGTAAAAAATAGCTTTTTAAAGTTTCATACAAAAGTTGTCATCACTTCAACAGTATAAATGAGGGCTCTGGAGATGCATAACTTGATGGCAATAAAAAGAACAGTCTTAGATATGGAGACCTTTTGTCTTTAGAGAGATTCAAAGGCAAGATGACATTTGATTAGTCTTTAAGTGGATTTATATATAGATTAGCTGATCTATGCATAATATCTCTAAAGTCTTCATCTTGATCCCACCGATATGAGAAATATATGGAAGGGTACAGGACCTTAATCTCAATCTAAATACAGATAAAAATTTATCTTAAATTTTATTTAGCATATACAGACACACTTTTTTATCTGGTAAATACTGGAAATGATAATTTATATTAAACTTTATTGCGTCCAGTTAAAAAATTTGTCTTGGCCAAGTTTCTACTGAATTGAAATGATTTGCAATAATTCATCAATGCTTATATGCATTAGTGCTAGAATTTCAGACTGAAGGCTCAAGTATCAGTAAATCTTTTTCTAAAATTAAACTTAACATAATTAAAAAAACATAAAAAATAAAAAATGTTTTTTAAATTTAATTCCAGTATAGTTAACGTAAAATGTTATGTTAGTTTCAGGTGTACAATATAGTAATAGTAAATCTTTTCCTCTAATAAAATCACTAATACTTTTTTGTTCACATTAAAAAAAAAGCTCAGAGGTAGTGCATGGAGAGCTACATCTGATAATTAACAAACACAACATATCTTTTCTTTGCCAAGCTATTTTTCTTGTCTTTCATGATGTTCAACAATCTAACTAGATTATCATTTCTCCCTAAGCACTGTTTCTGAAATTTCATAAACACAGTAAATCATTTCTTCTAATTATATAATTTTTAGTTTCTTAAAGAATATTAAACATCCATCCAAGTGTGATGTTTTTCTTTTCTTAAAATAATATGGAAATTACATCTGAGGTGGAGCCATATAAGAGAAAGTAGTATGCAATGTTATTTTTAAAACCAAACTGAGACATTTCAAATAAAATATAATCCAATATTTGCATAGAGTTAAAATGCTGATCATTTTAAGGGTTAGCTTATACATAAACATGGTTTCAGCAACAATAAAAATAATTCAGTGAACACATACCCAGAAATCGTACAGTTCGCCGCACCAGTGGGTTTATATAGCAACAATCTCCAGTTAAAATAGTTTTCTCCTGGTTTTCAAAATCCCGTGTGGCCAGTTGTAGGCAAAACACTGCAGTTTCTCCAACTATTATCTTGCGAGAAAATAAAAGGTTAAAGAACATTAGAATTTAAGCACTATAAATGCAGAATAATTTTATTTTTTAAAAAATGCAAGAAAGTAACTCCTTTGAGTGGTAACAATCTCAGTATAAAACTGAATCATATTTGCTTAACTAAACCCTTTTATCAGAACCTTATCCCTATGTATACAACCCATATTTCCTTAATTCAAGGGAGTATTAAACTGATAAATTATGAATAAAAATGTACCATACCATTTTTGTTTTCTGAAAGACTTCATTCAAAAAAAATTTACAAAGGATCTTTAAGGACACACATATTTATTTTTGGTATGTAACTGAATTCCATGTTTTATTTTTAAGTGATTATGTCTTGCTTAAATTTGACATTGCCACAGAAATCAGAACAATTTTCTATGAAAATATTCTAGGAAGGATCAGATAAAGACATCCTAAAGTCAAATTATATTAATACTTTTATAACAAGAAACAAAACCAATTCCCATGTGTTTGGCCTTGAGATTATCCTTTGCCAAAATCTCATTATTCTATTCTGAGACAGTATTAAAAATTGTAGTCATTAATATATTCTTTATATTTTGGTATACATATGTCATTTTAATCTTCATAAAAAATGAAACAGAAAATATTATCATACTTCTTTTATAATTGAAAAAAACAAGACTTGAAGCTCAAATGAATTGCCCAAAGCCACAGAGCCAGTAAGGAGAAAAATTAGATTCTGGTACAGATTCTTTGCTCTACTATGCTGATTTACTAAAGGACCTGCCTTTCTTCCCTTGTTGTTTATACCATTTTCAGTGGTTTTCATACATGGCCTTTAAAATCACCCAGCAAGGTATTAGAGCATGTGTTAATATTCCTCCATGAATGAGAAAATGAAGGCTTAGGGAGGTTAAAAAATTTGCTCCCCATCAAGCCAGTCAGAAGCCAACCAGAAATTGCTGACTCAGCCCCAGATCTTTTGACTAACCATGATCAACACTAGAAATATGATTAAGAGAAAAGAAATGGAGCAAATGTTATGTTGCCTAATTTGTCATTATTAAGGTTAGTTTCCAGTACATCTTGTCTAGGTTAAGTAACATACTATACAGAGAGTCCCTAACATTGCCTGGAAAAATGTTTTTGGGGTCTTGATGAAAGGTAGTATCTGTAATTACAAGTTACTCAAAATTATAAGGGGGGGATACAGAAATTCATAGGAGATTAAACATTTGTCCTAGTTCTACTCCAATATGAATAACAGATTATAAAGCATTTCTTAATTTTTATTCTTTCTAACTTTTCCTCTTTTCTTACTGTATCTCTTCTTCCAAGGAGGTCAGTGTTCAAGTTTAAACCAGTAGATGTTGAGCTGAATTATATTAAAGGAATCCAATCTTGCCTCTCTAGTAAGACTGGATTGAATTAGGAAAGGCTGGAGTTTATAGCCTCCCAAATCCTCCTGAAATTTTTAACTTTGGTAAAGTAGAGCAGGTGGGTGATGAAACAGTTCATCTGGCCTAAAGAGGCACAAGAGGCATTTTCTATGGGTTCATCAGTTGCCACCAGGGCCCTAGTAGAAGCTGACAAATAGACAAGCTGTGTGTCTAACATCTTCTTATCTTCCTTTCTGAATCACTCTTCTGCTGCTCTTTGGAAGAAGTTGCTTTCTGAATTTTCAGTTTCAACTTCTTCCAGGTCTGTTTTGCCCTACATTGTTGCAGATTCTAAAAATCTATCACCTACTCCACATCATGAGCTGCCTGGCTCCCGGCCTGATTCTGCCCTCCCAAGCCTTCTCTCCTCCAGAGCATGTACCAGAGGGTCTCCACCCCCAGGTTGGCTCCACCCCCTAGTACACTGACCCCCCCCCCGCCACCGCCAACTCCGTCTGTTAATCCATGATACACAAAATTCCTCTGAATGTAACAGATACCCAATAATTCTTACTAAATGCATGTGTGAATTCCATCCTCATTAGATCTGAAGGTCTCAGTCAGCCTCTGACCTTCTGCCTGACTCCTAATAACCAACTTCTGCTTTGTTCCTGTGATGAAGGCTCTACCTTACACCCTAGTTCCTTCCTATAACCAGATCCCGGACGCTCGTCCCTGACTTGACAACGCGTTTGGTTACCAGGTTCCTACCAGGCAAAAAGACCTGCCTTGTTCAGGCCCCTCTTCCTAGGGCTCTGCTTCTGTTTTCCTAATGCTAACCTCTTGCCTGGCTGTGTGTCAGCACATTGCACATTTCTGAATTCCCTATTTGTGTCTTCAGCCTATCTGCTGAAACACTGTCTCAATCAATACTCTTTGGCTGCTACTAAAAGAAACTCTCTCAGACTGGATTAAGCAAAACTGGGAATTTATTCTAGGGTTTGGAGTGTTATCTCAGAACTTGGGGGATGGGGCTCAGGATCAGGTCCAGGAATGGAAATTCCTCGGGAGTCCAGGCAACTACTCTCGGCATCTCATCTTTGGAGTTACACTGCCTCTCAGCTCTTCTCTGAATGCCTGACTCATTCTTGTCTCTCTGCAAACCAGTTCTCCTGCTTCTTAGCATACACGATTGCCCCAACAGTTTCCAAGAACCCTATTTTGAACATGTTAGCTCAGTTCAAGGAAAGTTCAACTAATTAGATTTACTGCATCCCAACTCCAAATTCCCAGGGGGTTCAGCTGGGGACAGGTGTCTCTTCTGGTCCAATTCACCAAAGTTAAGAAGGTGTGTCATGGTACATGAAAACTGCCTCTCCCGGCAGAAAGCCTAGTTCTCAACAAAAGGGAGTTGCAGTGATGTCTACGTCAACTCTCATCCATCCCATCCTGCTGGATCTTCCCCCTCCCCCACAATGCTAGTTCTTTCTCTAGACTAGCTCTTTCTACCATGTTCTCTGGATATCGTGTTCTGTGTGCCTACTGGGACTTTATCTCATCAAATGTAGGTGCTTTTTATGATGAGTACTTAGATACCTTCTGAGTTAAGGACTCCATGTTGGGCACTGCTGTTTAAAGAAAGCTTTATAACCTAGTTGGGTGGACACAAATGAAATAATGAATGATGGCAGGAGTCTGAGTTTTAACTGGTTTGGACAATAACTGCCAGTAGCACATTTAGAAAGAAATGTTATTGAGTCACTGGAAGCATCTGTGGTCACAGTGAGATGTGCCATTCAGATTCTCCTGCTGCAGGGAGGCTTTCCAGCTCACGCTCCCAGCTGCTATTCCACTGGGACCGCACTTCCTATGGGCTCCTTCTAGCAAATGACTAACTAAGCATGGTGGGGGTACTCAGGAAAGCCTGTTCTCCTGAGATGTGAGATACCTCAGGTTGGCAAATTTGATTTGAAAACTGCCAATCAGCCTGGCCAAGTCTTTCTTGAAACTGCGTTGTATTCTGAGGGGCTTGCGACCCCATTTCCCTACCTTCCTCCACTCCTTCACAGAGGTCACACCTCCATCAGAGTCTGAGGCCTCTCCTAGCCTTCTCTGGCCCAGCCCTCCCCAAACCTTTATCTTCTACAGGTGTTTCTCTTGATAAATCTCTTGTACATCTAATCACATTTGGTACCTGCTTCTAGGAGAATTCAAAGTAACACAGCATCAAAGAAAGGGTGTGATCCTGATTACTCTTAGAGAAAGGGTAGATAGATGTGATCAGATAGATGAAGAGGATTTAGATATAGGCCTTACTAGGAAGGTAACATTGGAAGAGGAGTGGAGGCAGACCCTCCTTCTGGTAGCTCTCAACATGTACCAAACAGAAGCTAAAGTAGATTGAGTTTGCCTCGGAGGCAAAAGCTCTCGTCAGCAAATTACAAACCTAAATTCTATGTTCCCAGTATTTTATTTTGGTTCTTCTCTTCTTGTCCTGTCAGAAGTCTCCCTGAAGGACTTTATTCTCCCAAAGGTATTACCAACCCCTGCTACTCTAAGGAATCTTAGCTTTTTCTCTCTTCCCTGACCTCCAGATGCAGGCCCCCAACCACCTATTAAATGACATCTCAACATGCTCAGATTTGCATATTGAAGTCCTCAGAGCCTTCCCACCCAAAAGGAAATTCCTCTCTCCTACCCTAAGCCTCCTGCCCCTCCATGTCACCATCTCAGTTAACCTGCCATCCTCCATTTAGACACTCAGGCTAGAACTCTCACACCATTACATACCATACTGATACCTCTGTCCCCCTCATCTGCCTCTCTCCAGCAATTGCTAACCGCTGTTCTTTTACCTCTTAATTATATTTCAAATATGACCATTTTTTCTCTGGTCTTCAAGCCATCTACTGCCAGACTGATACATTGAAAACAAATGTGTGCAATCCAAATTTTCTATTTATAATTTTCAGTGTGTCTTCACAACCAATGGGATAACAGGAATTGTCATAAATGACTGTTTATAGTTGAACCTAAACCCACCTTTTTCAGCTTCTGCAACTCTTACAACAGCCTCCACACATGCTATGTTCTAGGCACAGCTAAACATTTAAATCCTTCCAACATACCAGGCATTTCCATATATCCAGGCTTTTATACTTCGTCCATCACTTAGTATAGTTTGGTAGGCAAGGCATAGTTCTGTGCTTGAGATGTAATTTAAATATTGCCTATTCCTTATGTGTATTCCTGGTGCAGCCCATCCCTTCTTCTCTGTGTTCCAGTAGCGCTTTGTACATTTATTATGGTACTTTCCTCATGATTTTATAACTATCAGCCACATCAGTCTCTTCCACTCAATTGAGAGCTTCTCCAAAGCAAGGACTGTATAATGTTTATCTTTATACTTCCATATTAAAGCACAGTGCCTGGCAATAAATGTGAATGGCTGTATGCATGAATGAAATCCAGTTCAATCTGCCCATCTTATAGGTAAGGACACCTATCCAGAGAGAAATAGAGACGTTAAACATGCCTGAGTCACACAGTTACTGGCACAGCCAGAATCTGAATCCGAGTTCAGAGCTGTTTTGACCATAGCTTCAGCCTAGAAACTTGTAAGCTTTTCCT